GAAAACCAATAATAAATTTATATCTGCCACATCTTTAAAGCTAGACAAATTTTATATGTATACTTATATTCATTTTATACAATTTGGTTTTTTGTCAAAATTTACCCCCCACCCCTAATTCCCACCCTCACTTACCCCTTTGTAAAAGGCGTAAATACTAGGGACTTGTGCTTTGGCAAGTACATGCATATCTATGTTATATTCATAATCTAAAAGTTTCATGACGATAGTCCATCCACAAAAAAAGTTATTAAACAATTAAATTCCGCTAGTAAGCAACCACTGCAGCCAATGCGTGTTTATGCGTGCGTACGTATGTCTGCGTGTGTGCGTGTATGTGTGCATATGCGAAAATATTGAAATATCAGTTGCTCGAAGGGTTCAGGGGATCTCGTAGTCGGCAGTCTCGACTAGAGCTTTCTTACTTGTTATTTCTGTCGTTTTACGTAGGAGCTCTGGCATATGCTGAACTTGGCACAATGAATACCTCGTCTGGTGCGGAATGGGCATATTTTATGGATGCATATGGACCTGCTCCGGCTTTCTTATTTTCATGGGTATCGACATTGGTGTTGAAGCCATCTCAAATGGCTATAATATGCTTATCATTTGCACAGTACGCTGTTGAGGCTTTTGTGACAGAATGTGATCCACCTGGAGGCGTTGTAAAGATGGTTGCACTAGTGGCAATAGGTAAGCTTTGCATGCAAAGTACAATACACATTTGAAAGTCTACAAAATTATTTTCTTGTACTGTTATTGCCAGTGATGATATTGTTTGTGAACTGCTACAGTGTTAATTTGGGGATGGCCGTGCAGAATGTCTTTACGGCAGCAAAATTGGTAGCTGTTATTATTGTGATATGTGGTGGCACTTGGAAACTATTTGAAGGAAATACGCAACATCTATCGAATGCATTTAATGGGCCAATGCCAAATATTGGCGCCATCGCAACCGCATTTTACACGGGCCTTTGGGCATATGATGGTTGGAATAATTTGAACTATGTTACCGAGGAGATTAAGAATCCCAGTAAAAACTTACCGCGATCTATTATTATTGGCATACCACTGGTTACTCTGTGCTACGCGCTAATCAACATCTCCTATCTGGCAGCTATGTCGGCGCAAGAAATGATCGAATCCGAAGCGGTTGCTGTGACCTTTGGCAATCGCATCCTTGGCGCCCTTGCCTGGCTAATGCCACTCAGTGTCACTGTCAGCACATTTGGAAGTGCTAATGGTACGCTCTTTGCCGCAGGACGGTATGTTACAAATGTGACCCCGCGACGTTTCACTGTGTCTTACTTCTTAACTATTTTATTTGCAGTCTTTGCTTTGCAGCAAGTCGAGAGGGTCATTTGCTTGACATACTATCATATGTACATGTACGACGCTTGACTCCTGCTCCTGGCCTTATATTCCACGTAAGAGCACAAGCTATTTCTTTGAATTTAATCCATATTATTTCTTTTCTTACTTTTTTTTGTTGTTGTTCCAGTCGTTAATTGCATCAGCAATGGTGCTTCATGGTACAATTGATTCTCTGATTGACTTCTTCAGTTTTACCGCATGGATATTCTATGGTGGCGCCATGTTGGCACTAATCGTAATGCGTTACACCAAACCCAATCATCCTCGGCCATATAAAGTACCAATCATCATTCCCGTTGTGGTTTTGGTAATATCGGTGTACCTTGTAGCGGCGCCAATTTTCGAAACTCCCCGTATTGAATATTTATATGCTTTACTCTTCATTTTTGCGGGACTGATATTTTACGTCCCTTTTGTCAAGTTAGGAATGACTCCACGTTTTATGAGTAAGTATATGTAAGTTCAAGTTACCGAAAGCATAAAGCTATATTCAAATTGTCTTCCTTCCTACTTTATTGCAGATAAGGTAACTCTTTTCTTTCAGCTGCTACTGGAAGTTGTTCCAACGTCATCAATGGCCATGTTTGAATAATTTAATTCAATGTGCGCAATAAACATAAAAACAAACAAAATGCAAAAAACTCTGAATGAAACGGAAATTCTAAGATTCTT